TTTACCTCTATGGACAGTCCGTTATGATTGCTTCTAAATGTCCCATCCATCCAACTGTGCAAGGGTTTACAAGCTACATGAATGTATTGTTAGATATGTTTCTTTGTGTGTGTGTGCTGGTCATGACACCTTGCCGAATGAGTGTGTGCCTGCGAGATAGGTGCCTGTTAGGTGCTGTCGTTTTTTGTGGCCGACCCTTCCACCATTGGCCGTTAGATTAATACACGATCTGACCGGTGGAAGTAATAGAGCAACTAAGTGCGGTATGGCCGTGCATCTGCGCCACCATCAGCAGGGTGCAAGGTCTAATACATAAGGGGTACCTAGCGTGTGTTTTGTCATGGTGTGGGTGGATGAATGTACCCCGCCAAAATAGTAGTTCTTTGTGCACACGTGCGCACAGAACTAACTGTAGTGTGAGACAGCTGAGGTGCACCTACCACACACGGTGGTGTTCCTGGAGTGCATCTCATTGAAGGTGGCTACTGTTAGTAGTAACAACATCTAATCGGCTAGCCCATCCTTGTCGTGCATGTAGTTCACCTACATGTGGGTTCATGTAAGTCGGCAATACTACACCTGTGCAAGCTTCTCTGTTTATATGCCAGGTTCGGTGTCTAGGACTGCACTAGCAGTCTGCAAGCAGGCATAGCTCAGCGGTAGGTACTTCAGCCTTCCAGATCTTTCCTTGCGATAGGTTCCTCCTGTAGCTGCGAAAACAGCGCTTTCTGTGGTCCATGTGATAGGATGTGGTCCCATGGATAGAATGCAGAAACATACAGTGTCAAACTATTAATGTTACTTTCACCGGTTTTATGTTATTTGGTCCTCTTCTCATAGCTTAGCATGTGCTGGTCTGAGTTTTTATTTGGAACAAATATATCTACGGCCATGGCCTCGTAGCTATATTTGCTTTTGTTTTAGATGTAGAAGGTATGTGGCCTATGTATGCACTACTGTATGTTATATATCTCACAAAGTAGGTTCCCACTCATCTAGTAGGAGCATGGATGGGGGTAAGAACATCATCATCAATATAAGTTTGTGTGGTTTGCTCCCCAGGAGGGTTGTACCTCTTGGCTGTGCTCTGATTGGTGAATGGGAACAAAAGAGAGAACGGAAAAGTTTCGCCGCTGAGATTGTAGAAACCAGGATGATGGAGTAGGGGGTTGTGCTTTACCAGTCTCACCACCCCCTATGTTTAATTGATGCCAGATCTTATTATTTAGCATGTCCGTAGGTGTGGACAAAAGGAGTTATGAGTTACCTAACCGTACCTTGTATTGTCCCTCAGAGCGGCCTGCATGCTGTGTTCCTGTTTTGCGTTTCATCTGCCTCATGCAAGGCATTAGATGCGCTGTAAATTCCTGCCGCCAGCTGTGAGCTTCCTGCACGCAGAGAAGTGGCTGGTAGTATTTTTTTCCCGTGCAGAGAAATGCACTAGCTGATAGTAGCTTGCGTGCGTGTAAATGAGCGGCTGGTAGTCAATTTGTATATAAGGGAAGAAGACATGTGGGGTAAATCTCTCCTAACGCGTAACTATCCTACCTGGGAAGAGCAGGTGTTTTTTTGTCCTTCTATGCATGTCCCATCAAGTGTTCATACGTTTCATTGGATACATGTTGTTTTTTTGTTGTCAGACCCTCCACAGACTTCAACAGCAACACATTGAGCGCATGTGGGGCTTCCTCTCGCCGACCAGGAAAGAGGCAGCATGGCCTTTCGATGGACCTGCGTCATAATTGGTGAACCCAATTCCTCATCCACCATACCCATTTAGCTCTATGGACAAGGCATGATGATGGCTTCTAAATATCGCATCCATCAAACTTTGATGCAAGGGCTGCCAAGCTACGTTAGTGTGCTGTTAGATATCTTTGTTTTTGTGTGTGTGCAGGTCATGGCACCATACCGAGTCAGTTTGGGCCTGCAATATAGGTTACTGCTACCTGCTGACGTTTTGACGGATGAGTCTTCCACCATTAACCATTAAGTCAGTACACGAGCCCATCAATGCAAGTAATAGATCAACTACGTAAGTGAAATATGGCCATGCATTCGCGCTACCATCGGTAGGGTGAGAGATCTAATACAAAAGGGGTACCTAATGTGTGCTTTCTCAGCACGTGCCTAGATGCATCTATCCGGCCAAAAATGTACTTCTCTGTGCACGTGTGCCCATAATGGAACCAACACAAACTCCTAAAAACCTATCTAGGGTAGCCGCCCAAACCAGGACAGCTTAGGTGTGCCTGGTGCACACTGACACAGACTCCTAGAAACCTATGTAAGGTAGGAGGCGGCGCCTAGAAGGGTCTCAGGTGACCCTGCCAGTGGACAAAAGGCACCACTCGTTTAATCGCAGTCACACATGCACCCACTCGTGCGTAACGTGTTCGTAGCGATGCACTGCATCCCTCCCAAATTGGTAGCATGCCTGAGGTGCATTTCATTGAAGACACCTACTGTTACCAGTCCCGCCGTCTACTCAAGTAGGCCATCGTTGTCGTGCATGTAGTTCACCTGCCCATGGGTTCATGTTCGCCGCCAATACTACACCTACACAGGCTTCTCTATTTATATGGCACGTTCCACGTTTAGGACTGCACCGGCGGCCTGCAGGCAGGCATAGGTCAGCACTGGGTCACTCAGCCTTCCAAATTTCTCCTTGCGATAGGTTCCTGGTATAGATACCAAAGCAGCGCTTGCTGTGGTCCATGTGCCAGGCAGTGGTCCACTAGATAAATTACAAGAATATACATTGTGAAACCATTAATGCAACTTTCAGCCGCTTTATCTTATTTGGTCCTCTTTTCAGGGCTTAGCATGTGCCGGTGACACTTTTTATTTTGAACAAATATAACTACAAACATGAAGTCGTGACTATAATTGCTTTTGTTTTAGATATAAAAGTTATGTGGTCTATGTATACACCAGTGTATGTTATATTTCTCACAAAGTAGGTTCTCCCTCATCTGACAGGAACATGGATAAGGGTAGGAGCATCATCGTCAACATGGATAAGGGTAAGAGCATCATCGAGGATCCAGCGCCGCCACTTCCATTGGATGCCCATGATCTGGTGCCACCACTTCCATCGTCTGGTTTGGGTGCCCATGTCCCCGTGCCACCACTTCCATCGGGCGGCTTGGGTGCCCATGTCCCCGTGCCTCTGGTACTACTTTATTTAGTTGGCTTTAAATGAAGAATGATGGTATTGGCTTACCCCGCCCGCGTGCCTAAATGAATTCAGGTGGTGGCTTAATTCTCTGGGTCCACCTATACACGCGCAGATGTTCTGACTCTTCATATTTGCTTAACTTTATTGTAGGATCCAGTTTTACTTGACATATCACGCACAAGCATTCTAAGACAGATCCTTCCCAAGATAGGCGCAGTTATTCGCACCGAGGGCGCAGTTAAGGTGGATAACAAGAAAACCATGGCCTGGCTCAGCATTGAGCTTCCTTCCCAACCGGGCAGCAAGGGCTTACCGGAAGTTCAGACTTTCCACAGCATCCCTTGCATGACCGAATATAAGGCACAAGAAAGTGTTTCTGAGCAAGCAATTTGCTATTTTATAGCGAGGCTGAATATTTGCATCAATGATCTAACTTATCCTGCCTTTAAGGAAACATACAGGCAACTGAACCACTTCATGTCCTGGTCCCAGCTTGTTCAGACCAGGTATGATATGCTGCGCGTACAGACGGACGATCTATTGAAATCTCATAAAAAACTTCTTGACCGCCTCGGCTCCATCTGTTCAAGCTATGGTGATATCCTTTCGTTAGCGGCTCCTCTTACGTCCATTGGAGCAGAGCCCTGTCCTGGACCAGACCCACGGTATGTCCAGCTTGTCGAACAGCTATTCAGCCTTGTCCTGGAGAGCACCCCTATGTACATCCCTTCTAGGAGTCTTTAAAGGTATGCATGCTCCTTGGTTTGCGCCTGGTCCCAAACACTCTTCTGTTTCCTTCCGAACGACTCGCTAACCTGTACTTATGCACTCCCTGCCAGGGACACAATCACCAGAGCTCTCTAGGAAGTCCTGAGGTGCTACATCTAAAGCCCTATGCTATCCTACCAGTCTCTTGAGAACGCTGTAACTTAGTGCTATGGCACAATGCTATGTAGCATCCAGCGAATATTTCATCGCTAATACCAGCACATGTGCAGCTAGAAGCCCATGCCTCATTCCATCCACCTAGAGTCTCGGTCTCCGAGATGTTGTTTAGCAATGTTAGCCTCCTATGCTATTCTAGCATGTGCGTTGCTAATTACCTATGTGTGTACCTTTGGTTCTGTGTGTTCTCGCATATGTACTGTCCAATGGCCTTATTTGCCACCTTGAGATAAATATGTGTGTTGGGTGCTTGTGATGACATATATTCTATATTGGAACGGCAGTACCGCACCCTAATCCAGATATATTATCTGGTAATATGCCCAGCCACATTGGAGCCTGGCCAATGACAGCTCATTTTAGTGGTCCTCTAATCAGTTGTTTACAAATACAAGAAAGCGGAACAACTAAATTAACGCCGACTGAAACACTCTCAATACACCCACGCCAAAAACCTTTATCAGAACACCACTTACCTTGTGTGCTAATAACCACTGTGATCTAAGAGGTGCAGGTCCTAATGCCTTGCAAGTAGCAAGCATAGGAACAAGAACAAACCCAGAAAACTACGTTTGCCAGCAAATAAAACAACCTATAGAATCCTGAAATGATGTGTGTATGCATTTACTATCTGAGGAGAGAATCTAGCACAACCGCACCAGTAGGTTCAGGGTCCAGTCAGTGCTTACAAAACATCGAAATATGGTCCCCTCCGTTTTTTTACTTCGTACTTGGTAATTGGCCAGCCAGGTACCAGTACACCGGCCTGTCTCTGAACGCGCGTTTAAAAACACACCCTCTCTCCCGTTCATCTCCACTCAACACCACCACTCTGCCCTCGCTCAAGTTTCTTGCACACTGCAGGTGGTGAGCTATGCCCGCAGCAGCCACGCCAACCAGCAACGTAGCACCAGCAAAGAGGGGACGTTCCCAACAGCACCGCGGAGGGCATCTCGCTACGGTGCCAACAATGTCTAACCGCCGTCGCCCACAGAAGGGCCTAGGCTGGATGGGCGTACGAGAGCGGAGTTGGGGCAGCTGGGCTACGGAGATCCGCATCCCACACACACGACTCAGGCTCTGGATCGGCAGGTTTAGGCATGCCCTTGAGGCGGCTCTGGCATATGATGCCGCCATGTTCTGCTTCTATGGTGAGTGCCTCCCCAGACAACGTAAGTTCAACTTCCCGGACGTCCAGCGCCCTGCCATCCCTGACCACCTTCGCATCCACCTCAACATAGCCACCATCAGGGTGATCGCTGCAGACTACGGCCGAAGGTGTGCTCCATTCCTCGCACCCCTCGTGTGCCCCGAGGTACCAGGAGTGCTGCCGGCACCACCTCTGGTGGCGACAGTGCCAGGTACTGATGGTGCTGCTGCCACCGCCGGCATTGAGGCAGCCACCCTAACTAACGACCATCGTGGGATCAACAAGAAGCATTTTTCCTAGCTGCTTAGGCACTGAACAGTTGTTTTGAGAGGGACTACCCCTTGGGTTTGTAGTTTCCTTTTTGGTTAGAAATAGTTCTTCGTATGTTACACCCACTGTCCATTCTTGTGTTATGTCCAATGAAAATTAGTTGTGTGTGGTGTTAGGTCCAAAAGATCTATTTGTTGACTGCGATTGTGATCGCGCCTGGCGCTGGCAATTGAAGCCCTACCATAAACATCTATTGGAGTGGCAAATACAAACATGCGCAGCGCCAAAATTCACCCAACAATTACTGGCATGGGGCACGAAAACAGTCTATTTAGCTAGCACTCTTGTAAAATTCCAAGCAAGAGGAACCAGAAACTTACATGAGCACCTATAGGCTGTGGCGAGCACCGCTGCGGTCGTAGGCGTGGCCTTCCCCTTTGAGCCTCCCTGCACAGCAGCCGCCGGTTAGCGTTGCCTCCGTGTGTCACGCCGTCACAATCCCTAGGTTCAATATGCAGCCACAGCAGCCGGTTCTTACCTCCATGCGGAACCGCCGCCGCCGATTACGCACGGACATCAGCATCAGCAGCGGTCATTTTTTCAGCCAACTGAACAGAGCCAGGCCCTGAATTTATGGTGCCTAGGAAATCATTGAATAAGACCTGAGACAACAGAGAAGGACTCATGCACTCAGAAAAATTCAGCTACAATAAAGATTGGATATAAAATCGTCCATGAATTAAAAATTGGTAAATTTTAATTTGAGTCACTAATTGTAGTGTGGTTTCATGTCTAGCTACTTAGACACCAGCAAGTGCATTTTTTTGCAAGCAAACCTTCCTAACAGTTGCTGAGCTTATTGAAACAAAATGTTCCTGTGGTCATTGTACAGTAAGCACGTCCTGGGATATTAGTGCATAATACCTGGGATATGTTGGAACACTTGTCCAGGCATAGTGCACGGCACCCTTGAATGTCTGTTGACAGATAGCAAGCATATCCTGGATTAGATGTGTGTGCAGCCACATGCTCTCAGCAAGATTACAAAGAACACCACCAGGCTTCAAAGCTCTAGCAATTGTCTGAATAAATGGTTTCTCCACGAGTGCCTGTGCTGGCCCTATAATAATTAGTATGAAAGGAATTTAAAACAGTGTGCAAACAAAAGGTATCAATTAAGTGGACTTTACGAATGCATATTAACTTTCAAAAAAAAAAAAGGACTTAGGTGTAAATCCACTAGGTATATCGAGGTTATGTTTGGAACCACCACAAAAGTTCCCTCACATGTAAATGAACAATTTCATATGAAATATTGCATTCCAAATGTGCCCATGCATACTAAACCAGCTATTGTAGATAACAGGCTAACAAAAGAAATCAACAAGAAGCAACCTTATCAAGAATGACATGTGAATGAAGTGATAAACGAATGTACAAGAGAGTTCTATACTTCTTATTACTAAAATATGTGATAGCAAGAACCCACCAATTGGATCTGATGAATCGACAATAATAGCATCATATTTTCCTTCAGGAGAATTCCTCAGGAAATCAACAGCTGCAAAACAAAAGCAAGTATACTATGAACTATAAGAGATCAAGACCTGCAGAAACGATATGTCTGAGGCTATAAACAATAGTGGCATATCCTACAACCTATCACAATCATATAAAATACCACCAGGCACCAGCTTTTCAACATACCATCACCAACATGAAGTCAGACACGAGGATCTTTATATCCAATGGATAAGTTTGGAAAGAATTCTTTGCAAACCTGCACAGTTTGGAGAGAAAAATCAGAAAAAAAAATATTCACACTATTATACCTTGAATTTTGAGCATAGGTAAAGTGGTCATTCTTACATCAATAACCAGTTGATCAATCTCACATATATCAATAGTATCCACTGAATCATGTTCCTGTGGTAAAGTGGCTAAGAAATCATTGAATAAGACCTGAGGGAACAGAGAAGCACTCATGCACTCAGAAAAATTCAGCTATAATAAAGTTTGATACAGAATCGGCCATGAATTCAAAATTGAAATTTTTTAATTTGAGTCACTAATTGTAGTGTGGTTTCATGTCCAGCTACTTAGACACCAGCAAGTGCACTTTTTAGCAAATGATCTAAATTGGTAATGGCAAAGCTCAAGATTACTTGTATGGCATTTGCTGCCCAATCAAAGCCGTGAAGTTTGCTGGAAAAAAAATGAATCCACATTCTCAAAATCACTTTCAGGTTATAGCAAAACACGAAGGCTCTTTTCTCCATGACTACATTGTTCGTCTTCGTTCGATTCACATAGAGGTTAATCTTTGCCTCCCTGGAGTGCTACAATATAAAGGATATAATAATATAACTTCAATGGAATTTATTAGTTACCTTTGCTTCACTGATCGCTGCCACTGATGCTGTGCTTAAATTTTGCCATGCACAAATCGTTCCTTTAGTCGATACTCTATGCTGACCAAAACTCTATTTTCATGTGGCCTGCTTAAATAAGTTCCCTATTCCAGAAAGTAATTCCTTTAGTCGATACTCCTTGCTAGGAGATCATGGATTATGCAAAGAAACTGAACAGATGCCTTACCAGTATATAGTCCCATTACTGCCAGTCTGCCACCTCACTGACCTATCAACCACTAAACAGATCAGGCAAACGCGGGGGGAACGCATCCGAGAAGTGCTCACGTAGTTAGGAGCCGTGGAGAAGGCCCTGGTGCTGGAGACAGAGCCCCCAGAGGCTGCGGCGATCTGGAAGGAAAGTTTCCCGCAGAGGACATCAGACGATTAGTCTGGGGAAATAGTGGGGGTAGGGTTTGGGAGAGAAGAGGGCTAACCAGAGACGAGGCTAGACGACGGCCGATTACTTCCGACCCAGACGCAGAAGCGAGGCCGAGGAGGCGGCGGGCCACGAGGCGCGCGGCCAGTGCCACCATGGTGGCGTGCACGACGGCGGAGACGACGAAGCGAGTGTTGCTGGAGGCATCGGCTTGTGGCCGCCTTGCGAACCCAGTGAGATTGGGAGAAGATGCGACCGGTCTTTGACTCGCGCTACGTCGCTAAGACAGGAACCCTACAAGCCCAATGGGCCAGACCTAGCTTTGCGGGCCCAATTTTTTTTGGCCTTAGAGGCCGTTCCGTGACAAGCCACTAACGTAGCCAGGAGCCCTCTGGTTCTATCGGCCGAACTTTCCAGTGCTTTTTCTCAGTGCTAAAAATCGTCTGGCCGTCTCGCTAAAGCGGTTAAGTCATTTGCCACTTAGTTGTACTCTCTCTCTACTTGGAACACTCCGAATCTCTTACAACAAGTACATCACCCGCAACGAAGCGCGAGAAGCAGTGGTTGGGGTTGGTGGACACATTTAATGTCGCTTCTCCTTACCATCAGATAAAAACGATTCACCGTCCAAGCTGTACTATTTGTAATAGTACCTAGGTAGTATGCACTCGTAGGGACGTTGTGGTAGTTTCTAAGTAATATGCAGGACCATGCATGACCATTTAAACTGCTATGATTTAGGACACATGCATGGCCACGTTACTCCCAGGATGGTCGGTGGTTGGGGTTGATCGCCATTACTACATCTACCATAATGGCTTTGTGCTTAGCGTCGCTTGCGGTTACGCTTACCATGACCCAAGTCTCCCCGCGCTTTTTTTCCCTCTTGTCGGAACCTTGTCTTGCAACCGTATTAGTCCTTAATGGCCGGTGCAATGTACTTCGTTTAGGTGAACACACGAACGTGCGCATCAATGGAACTATATACTTATATGTATACAATGATGAGGCCCAGTAAGTGCCAGCACGCTGGCACAAAGAACAAAATCTTGTAAATTCTACTACATACCTAGGTGGTTAGTTGAGGTGTAGCCACATAGTACGTGCATTATTGTGCCGTATTGTTAGTAGACACGCCATCCTTAGGTGCCACACATGTCGTTGTGTGCATGGCCTACGCCTGCTTGTTACAGAAATATGTTCGCACTGTACCTTCGTGGTCCGCGTTCACACGTGAGTAGCGTCAGTAGTGACCCACGTCCCCTCGTACCCCTTTTCTGCACTCTTGTCGGACCCTTGCCCTGCAATCGTACTACTCAGTAATGGCACCGCACGTCACTCGCCTCGAACGCGTGAAATTTGGTCAATTTGTTCATAGTGATCCCACGTAGGAACCCTGGTGAACCATGCCAAGACCACAGACCGCTCTACCTTTATAAGCAGACCCTGCCTTAGCCGGTAGCACTCTTTTTTGACTTCTTGTCGGAACCTTGGCTTACAACCGTATTAGTCTTTAATGGCCTCAGACATCGCTCACCTCAAACGCATAGGACGTGCATTAATGCATGGCCTGTTTGTGCATTGTTATCCCATATTACTAGCAGCTACGCCATCCATAGGTGTCACGTGTGCCGTAGTCTGCATGGCCTACTCGTGCTCATTACATAGTTAGGTCTACACTGTGGCTTTGTGCTCCGCGCTCGCCCATGAGCCACGTCAATAGTGACCCATGCCTCCTTGTACCCCTTTCCTGCGCTCTTGTCGGACCCTTGCCCTACAGTCGTACTACTCAGTAATGGCACCACACGTCGCTCGCCTCGAACGAGCGAAATCTGGTCGATTCGTTCGTAGTAATCCCGCGCAAGAACCCTAGTGAACCACGCTAGGCCCACAGACCGCTCGGGCTTTATAAGCAAAGCCTGCCTTGGCCATTGGTGCCACCACTTGTCGCACTTTAGCTCGCTTAGGTTTTCTCTTTGAGCAAGCTTTTTACTCGGCCCTTCTTTGTAGCCACGACCAGAAATGGCAGGAACCTGGGTTAGTAGTTACTGCCTAAACGTTCAGGGTTTTCCTAGAATCCTGCACGCCACCCTGCAAAAGCTCGGAGTCAAGTATCGTCCCGAGTATGAGGGCCGTGAGTATCAGAAACATGGCACCGATCGGTGTGAGGTTACGGTTTACATTGGGAAGAGTGAAGAGTTCCCCGACATCACCGAAGCCTGGAGTGTGACCGCAACCGG